AGAGTACTGTGAGATCAATAGGTCCCATCCTGATTCTTAATTAAAGGGTAACCAGGGAATAATTTATTTAGGTGGACTGTTAGTGCCTCATATTAGGGGCCAGAGACAGAGGAGCTGTGCTCTTACCCCCATGCAGTCAGCATACATTGCTCTGAGATTTCTCAAAAGCAGCAGTTTCTTATACGGTTGGTAATGAGGAAAACCATGAGCACCATTTGTTGAGGTATTGTAAAAGTGTGCCTGGCTCTGAAACAGTTCCACAGAGTTTTCATGGTCTGCCTTCTTCAGAGCACTCTTAGTAGCTCATGAAGTACTTGTATTGAATAATGAAAATGCTGAGCTCTTAATTACACTTGAGGATTTTGGGAACTGACATACTGATCAGTGGAAACAAAACAAAACATACAAAGTAGTACTGTATGTCTAAAAATCAAAAAGTCTTCAGGGTGAAAATATGATAAAGACAAAATTGTGGATGAGGACAATGATTCAAGATAAATACCTAATGATGTCACACAGAGTTAAAATTTTGAGGGTATTTTTGAGGGCATGGTTGATGATGGTGGTGGATACCAGCTGAGTTTCAGTGAAAATCTCTTGTTGTAAAAGCAGCGAGTGCATAGGGAAGAGCTTTGAAGTGTGGACCCACAAGAGTAAAGCATACACTGAAACAGAGCTGAGGAAGTCAGAGATGAGAAATGTGAGTGGAATGAACAAAAAACGCACTGAAAGTGCAGTCTAGTCATGTCATTTGGAAAGTGAATCAGTGGAAACAGCAAAGACAAAAACATCACTTGCAGCCTCTTGAGCATCATCCCTAACAAAATTGCTGCAACATGTTTGGTATTTTTTCTCAGAAATTTAAGACACTTGAAGAAACATTACAATTTTTCCTAGAGGCTTTTTAAAAACCTCTAAAATGTATTTCTGTTTTTATGTTGTTGTGATGTAAAGGAACACCTGTAAGTACAGTTGTCTTTGGCTTAGAACATACTGTACATGCTTACCGCAGAATTTAGCTGTTTGTTTACTTTTACCAAATGTACAGCATTACAAGTATGCCAAATTAGCTATTAGCAGGTCTTGTTTGCACTGCACCCATAAATCTATACAAAACTATCACTGGATTTCTTTGATATTGAAGAAAATGTGAAAATCTGATGATTCTCAAGCAAGTTCTAAAATTTTACAGAGCATTTTTTCCTCTGATATGTAAGTAAATTTATAGGTGTTTAATGACAATCTCCTTGGAAAGCAAATGTCACACTGAATCTAAAAATCTTGTTTGTGTTTGATGGATTTATGACTAGTAGAATGAATTTGGGCACAAACTGTGTATTGTATCAAGTGCTAATGGTTTAAAGTACCTTACTACCCTCCATGAGCTGAAAGAGAAACCTTGAATCCTCCATCATTCCTAGGAATAAGTGAATAATTTGCAGTAATACATGTGTTAAATGATATTGGTCTAGTTGTAAAAATGGCCAGTGTTATGATATTAACAACAGTAACTTAATCAACAGATGATCAAGAACTGTATGAATGTGGATATGGGCAGAGAATGAGGGGGAACACTGTATTACACCTGAATGGTGGTTTGCCTCATTGCTTAGGGGCCGTAAGGATTAATAACACTCAGCCTGCATAATGCATGATATAATTTATAGGCAGCACATTTTTCTGAGGCAAAAAAATGGCGCAGACAGAGTGGACAGTTAACCTTTTCAATGATATGACTCGTTATCAATAATTAACAGGATCATGGCCATTTAGTTGTGCATGAGAAATAGCTTCACTGAGTGAAGGAATGGCTAGAAAGTATGTGTATGAGATAGTTTAGGTTCAGTCAATATACAGTAATATGGGTTCATTCTGGTGCCAGTTTCTTGCTATAACAAGAAATGTTTCTTGTTGATATTTTATGTTATTGTGGCATATTTTCATTGATATTTCTTTTTGTTACTGGATTATAATTTACAAGAGATTTCTTATTTCATGATAAACCTTTTCTCGTTATAACAGGATAACTTGGTATGTTGTTATGACAAGATGCTTCCATATGATGACAAAAAAGATTTTAGTTTACATTTATATCTAGTCTACATAGGCTACATCTACTAGAAAAAAAATCTTCAATGGCTGGTTGAAATATCGTTCAGGTTTTATTTGACACAGTTGATTGAAGTACCACCCATCCATTATCGGCAGGGGGACTGCAACCTGTCTCCCAGGGTGACAGGGTCAGTGCACCTGGACAGGTCACCGGTCTATCACAGTGCTGACACGGACAAATACACACATTTAAGAGTAAACCTTTGAACTTATTTTCCATTAGCCTAGTTCTTTTGGGCAGGTGAGTCACCATTCCAGCCTGTGTCACCTCAGTCAGTACCCAAACTCTTAATTAAGACATGAAAATTCAGTTGTCAGTCCTCTTTAATGAAAAATGTGGCAACATTGTAACTGGAATTAAGTAGAGGAAACAACCCCCAAATGCAAAGGATTATGAGTAAAGGAGGAGAGAAAGTGATTATCATGGTGGAACACAATATTTAATACATTGTAGGTAAGATAAACTGTATTATTTTAACAGTCTTCTGTTTGTTACCAGATGCAACCTCTTGTGGTTGAACTGTGGATTTCATCAGTGGACATTTGTGTGCTGACCATTAAGTAAAAAGTCTTTAGATTCTTTGGTTTGTGTGGTCCAGACCTTTAAAAACATCAGATTTGGGGGGATTTTTCAACCACTACATGCTGTGCGCTCTTTTAGCCATAAAAGCCCAGGGGGATGCCAAAAAGAACGTGCCTGTATTGGATGGATAAAAAGCAAATTATGCAATATTATTTGCATATGCCTTCCCTGTGACAGATGACACAGGTGTTGCTTCTGATCATTATCATGCAAAAAAAGAGGATGTTCGATGCCAGGAATGTCTGGCATTTTTGTGTTAATGCCTTATCCTTATTTATATTCCTGTGCCTTTTTGAGGTGAGGGTCTGTGTTTTCTGCAGTGAATTCAAACACAGGATGAAATGATGATGAATGCACACATATGTGTCAGATGTTGAGGAGAACAGCTCTAGGCGAACATGCCACATTGTTGTAGAAAATGGCCACTCGGGTTCAGCTGTTAAAATGATAGATCAGTGGAGGCGGTTCAGGGTTGGGGGGTCCTCACAGTGTTTATATCCTAGCGGTGTTTAACTACTATTAAAGGCTCACGGCATCATGTTGTTCTTCCAGACAATGAGACGCAGTATGAGCTGTCATGGACTGTGTGAATATGTGGTAAAATTTATTAGCATGTCCGGCAGACACACAAAACTTAATATTAACTTGCATTGACTCATTTGCTGTTTATGGATGAATTGATTAATGAAAAATGCAATTCCAAGTGTGCAATAACCCTGTGTCAATCAGCTTATTGCCAGCGGGTGTGCCAAGTGGTTACCTACAATCAGAGGAGTCCTCAGAATTGCCTTGCTGCAAAACTCAAGGGTCCTTACAAAATTCAATCTTATATAAATGCTTATATTCACAGAACTATTACTACTACTGGAAACAAACAAGCAAAATTACATACAAGTAAACAGTTAGTGCAGATCAAAAACATACCCTGAACCACTATAGACGACAAACTACATGGAGAAACACATCTGTGGTACACTGCAGGGAAACTATCACAAGTTATTGCTGTGTAAGACAAAACTAAGTGTTCAGAAAAATATTTTACAAGTTGCTCCTGAAAGAGAGACAGATCCCTCATTAAATTATGTGGGGGAATAAAACCATACATTTACTTTGTGATGTATCATCATTTGGTCTTTTTACAGTATTAAAAAAAAACTGACCAAAGCCATAGTTGCAAAAGAAATGCTCTTCTTTTGACTATGACCCACTGATTTGTCTGTCCCAAACGAATAACTTTTAATCTTCCTGCTTGGCAGAAAAGCTGATATGGTGAGTGGATTTTCTCAGGCTTGGTTTGGTTTAGTCAGACTCCACTGTCAGCTGGTGGAAGACTGAAAAAGGGGGAAATGTTCCATCTCGGTTTTACAAGACAAAAGCCAACACAACAGCAGCAGCAGCAGCAGCAGCCATGGATTTATTTATTTATTTTAATTGAACTGGCCTGTAGGGTATTGCATCATATTCTACCTGAGATCACCTGAAGTAGAACAGAAGAAAAGAGAGGTATAGATGAAAAATGAACAAAAATCATCTCAGGGTTCCCTTGTCCATTTGGCATGCATGGGTGGGTAGAGAGAGAAGAGTGTGTGGGTGGATGAGATGCAGAGAGAAGAAGAGGAGGAGGGAGGATGGAGGGGTGGTGGTGATGGAGAGGGCTTGTTAACGAGGGGTTCCTTCACCACTGTGGCACCCACAGTTTCTGTCTCACCATTGGAGAGAAGAAGGAGGAGAGACAAGAGGTTGAGGAAGTGGTGGAGGGACAAGGAGGAGGGTGAGGGATGAAGAAGAAAAAGGAGATTGAAATGGGGTGGGGGGGCTACGGCGGGGGCCAGATCATCTACACCCCTTTCCTGGAAGGGAGGAGTAAAAATGGCTGAAGCTTTGCATGGACATCTATGTGTGTATCTGTGTTGGGTGCACACATGTATCATTAGGCATCATTAACCACAAATTATACAGAGAGGAGAGAAAGACAGATGCTGCTGTTGGCATGTTATGTTGCTCCACTCTCCCCCCTACAATCTGCAGCCCCAGGAAAGAAAAGGAGAGAGGGTCGAGGGAGAAGGAGAGGGGGAGGGAGAGAGGTAGAGTTAATCTAATACATGTGTAGTGTGATTAAAGGAAGAGCTTCACTGCTGTTGACACTTCAGATGAATGTGAAGCTCAGCGAAAGGATATTAAATACACTGAAATCGCACTGAAAAGAGGCAGAGGAGGGAGAGAAAGGGTTAAAAGCCTAAATCTACCACAGGGAGATCACTTTCTCTCTCTTTCTCTCTCTCTTCCATACTGTCCTCCCCCCTACCTCTCTCGACCACTCGGCTGCTCACTGCCTCTCTCACCACCTGTTAGTGCAGACCCCTCATGCGCTGACATCCACTTGTTTGTGTAGGAATCTCCTCCACTCACACAATTAAGGGTAAGAAAACCTTTATTTTGATTTCCTCTTGTATTTTCTCGCTAACACTTGTTTGATTTTTGCATTTACTGGCCCATTTTTTTTCTTGAGATTATTTATTCTCAGAGAGGTCTGCATTTTTTTAATGCATCTTTTATCTCTTCACTCTCATCTTTCTGTTTCTGTTCTTCTAATTTTGCTATATGTGCCCATCAGCAGAGGACAGTAACTAAGTACATTTACTCAAATACAGTGTTTTACTTTTGCTTAACATTGATTTTATACGCTATTTAGTTGTACTTTATTGCATGTTATCCAAAAGCTCCACTACATTTCAGAGGCATTTCAAACTGTATTTCACTGTTACAGTTCAGATCAAGATTTTCATCAAAAACATCAAAGGACAAAACTAAAAAGCACTTCTGCATTAACTCTTTGTCATGCTTGATGGTGTGGATTTTAGAGGGTTGCTCTACCAATTATATTGACATCTATCTCTTGTTCTTAATGAGTTGCACTTAGTGCAAGTGATTTAGGACAGAAGTGTCTTCTACACAATGTCATGCAGTATGATCATCTTCAAATGTATAATGCATTGATATAGCCAGAAAAATACACCAGTAGGCCTACATAGAACTGTTCACTAACAAAAAAACTGTTTTTGTTACAACAGTCTGTGCTGCTTTAAAAGGTTTTATATGTTAGTGTTATGTCAGTGTTGACCAAAGAAAAAGAACAGGTGTAATATAGTCTGTGTGCCTTTATTTTCTGCCCGCTGTTTGACAGGTTGTTTAAGAGAGCTGTCATAACTGCCACACACACACAACACACACAGACAAAAAAAAAGAAAAAAGAAAAAACTATATCTGCGAGCAAAATGTACTGTTTTACGCTTCCTGTCCATTTGAACTAGTTTGTTTGTTTACCAAGTTTTGTCTTCCCTTCTTAAATATAATATTTACAATAGGCTATATTGAAATCAATAATTAAAAAATCTACAATTTAATATATTTTAAAGTTTAACATGCATCAAGCCATGTTAATTCTACACCAATCAAAGGCTGAGATAGGAGTTAATGTTACTGCGGCTCTACCAAGCTGGTCGCCTTTAGCAACTTTTATTTAGTTAACAAACTGATTTAGTAGAATGCTGGTCCAACACATTTTTTTCCAGTTACAGGTGGAGAAAAATTAGGTAATAAAAATATTGCTTTAGCTTTAGCATGTGGCTTTCTCATCAAGCAGCAACCTCAGAGGTTGAGAAATGGAGCTGACTTTGAAACGTTAAAACCTGCAGTTCCTCGAATGGCCACTTGAGGCTCGCTCCAAAAGAATGTCAGTGCCCACAGACTCCTTTGTAAAAATGTCCAACTTTACAGCAGAAATAAACATATTTACAGCCTGGTATAAAAAGGTTTTGGTGTCTATAGCTAATTTCCGCTTCCATGACATCTGTGCAGGCAGGGAAATCTTATACAACTTGCCTATTTAAATTATATTGAGACTAAAAGTTATGCATTACTTAAGGGTGTGGCCGTGTTGGGTGACAGGTGGGAGGGTCTCACCATAGGTGGCTAGCTGCCAGCTGTCTGGCGAGCTCCAATCACGCTCCAGCCCTTTGCCCATTTTTGGATTAACTGGAGGTAGGTGGAATGAAGTGCTACCAAGATAACAACAGCCAAACTTGAGCTTCAAAACCACTCTACAGAAAACTAAAGGGGTGACGTGACAGAGGGTTTGTCCATCTTTAATATACAGTCAGTGTTTCTCACCAGTAGCTTTCACCAATATAATGTTACCTCTTCGGCTTTAACTGCCTAGTTGTCTTTCTCTCTGTACCTTTCATGGTAATTATAGAATATGTTTGTACAGTAAGAGCAATGCCAAAAATGTCAGTTTCTGGTCTTAACTCGCTTTGCTTTGATTTTGTAAGGCAGCATAGGTGACATTGGGGGACAGCTAAGGCTCGGGAGGTAGAGCGGGTTGATTTACTTTTACACATTTAATTATTGTTCAGTCCAAATATCTTTGTTCAAAGTCCAGAAACATCAGTGTGAATATCAGTCTACTTTGATGCAGACTCTGATCCATATGCAGATTAAACATTTTAAAATATCAGATTGAACAAAGTGTGCAGCCTTGGTTTATGTATTTACTTTATGTTATTTTGAACTACATAGATAAAGGTTGTTCATACTTTTTTTTTTTTTTCATTGACTGTAACTAGAGCTTCTTCCAGCATGTACTGGAATGGGAAGACCAAGGACAGGCTGGCAGTGATGATTATTACCAGAGGCAGTGAGGCTCATTTAGACTTAATTATTCCCTCATATTTCTTAAACCTGTGTTTATCCACAGAATGATGACTGACCACCACAATGTACTGCTTCACACTCACACAGTTCAATGTCTTGTTTAAGGGAAAGCCCAGTCAAACACGTGCTGCAGAAAGGAGGGGGAAGAAACTATAATTTATTTCATTTTTTCCTGCTAACATTTTCTCTGTTGCTCTCTGGGATTTGAAAACCTCCCTCCCTCCTTCCCATCACTGACATACCACATTATAATTCATACCCACCAGCAGCTGCATGTAAATCAATATCGCCTTGGCACTGACACAGACTTGATGTTACTGTGAAGAAGAGAAGCAAAGAAAAAGAGGAGTATAAAAGTGGAAGGATGGGAGAAAATTCTCCTCTGCACAATAATTGACAACCATAGACCCCACTTATAGAGACATTTCGTGGACATTTGGTATTCTTAACTCATATTTTTCCCTGAGATCCCAGTACCCTTCAATACAGGTGCCCTACCTGGCCAGCAGGAGTCACTAGTATAGTGAGAAAGATGCATCCCTCACTGGCTTCCCATCCATAATAACTTCCACTTGTAGATACATGTCGTAAAGCACACAACATACTGTTGAGCAAGATTAGGTTACAATGCTGTGTTTTAGCTGTTTACATTATTACAAATATCAGTGGGATTTTATGCCTTTGTGCTGGTGATGTTATGGTTTAGTCCCCCTCACCAGGAGGGTGAGGGAGAACTGAGGTTGGACTCAAGATGGCTGACCCAGGTGCTAGTAAAAAAACAGGTGGTTTATTGGTGGGGATTACAAAAATGAACAGAGTCAATGAATACATACAACCAGGGCTGAGCAAAGACGGCTGAGGAGAACAGGACGCCCAAGGGAGTAGACAGGCTAACGGCAGGAACCAGGAGAGGAGGAGGATCAGGACAGACAGGGGAATAGACAAGCAAACCAGGAGGATAGGTGAACGAATAAGGAAATCCACAGCACAGGAACTGTCAGCGTAGACGTCTAGAGACGTGTAACACAAAAACAGGTAACCAACGTACAAAATGAGATCCACAGCACAGGAACTGTAAGCATGGAATACAAAATCCCACAGCACAGGAACTGTAAGCGTGGAATACAAAATAATGTCTAGCTAACCTAATGGACAAAAACATACAAAGTGATCCACAGCACAGGAACTGTCAGCGTGGAAAACAAAATGACGTACAATACATACCACAACTATAGGGCTGTTATGTGGTATGCACGTTAATGCTCTGGCAACGACAGACAGGTATAAATAAGGAAGAAGGTAATCATCGGGATGCACCCCAGCTGTGCACACCGACAAACAAGTCGCTAATTACAGGATCGAGAGAGCAGAGGAGAGAAAGGCGGAAGAGAGGCAGGTCGCGCTGAGTGGACCTGACAGGTGATAGCTGGATCTAGAGGCAGTATGTTTTTGACTTGTCTGTCCGTCTGTACATCCGGCCCATTCTTGTGAATGCAATATCTCAGGAACGCCTTAAGGGAATTTCTTCAAATTTGACACAGATGGCCACTTGGACTGAAAGATAAGCTGATTAGATATTGATAGTTAAAGGTCAAAGTCAGTGTCCTCACCTCTGTCCCATTCCCATGAGTTTGACTGGTTGGTGGAGTAATACAACAGCAAAGCAGTAATTCTATTTGAATGAGGGTTTCTACCTCTTTAACAGAACCTGGGAGTTCTGGCTTCATGCCAATCCTCTAAAGCCCTAAGAAGGCATTGTACATTTGGAACGCTCACTTTCAGGGTTATCATACCATTCAATGCCCGTTATCAGTTGTTAAATTGGACCATACCATAGATATGGGTAGTAGGGCCCTACTCCACCATTTGGTTGGCTCAGTAGGTTATTATCAAGCGCTGGTTATAATAATAAATACAGAGCATGTGGGTCTACTAGACATTGTAGACTAAATGACTTGAATTGATTAACTGTAAAAAATAAAAGATCTTTAGTTGACAGTAAAGTTAAGTAATAATAAGTATTGTAATGATATGTGAGCCTGCAGTGCAGTGAGCCTGTAGCCACACTCCTTACCCTTTTGTTACCTGTCTCTCTCACACCTGTCAATCATCAGATGATTATACAAAGTGACGGGGCTCACTGACCACTGAGCCACCTCTCCACTGTGAGAGAGAGCAACATGAAGACAAGGACACATCTGCAGACATGGAGACAAAAACAATGCGCGCTGAGGGGATGAAAGAGGGGGAGAGAGGGGGAGACAGACAGAGTGCTCTCTAAGAAAACATCTGAACAAAGCAGGGTAGGAATAAAAACTTAAGGTGTGACAGGCAGGTGAGACAGAACAATAAAGGAGAGACTGGACGGGGGAAGGGGTGTGGATGCAGAAAAAGAAACAGTTCATGTCTTCATTAGCATACTCTACTGTGCTTTTCCCACAGCTTAACTCTCCACTGCTGAGTCTCACTAGTAATCCCACTGTGACTGAATATCAGTCTCTGGACGTGCACCAGATTCCACTTTCATGTGGGAGAATGTTACTGCTGATAAATGCAGCTTCCTCCTGAATTAAACATGACTCCTGCAGTACTACAGTGGAGCACCAGTCAGCTGAAACACCACCAAACAAATGGACATACCATAACTAGGATTAATGAAAAAAATTTAAGACTCTGATTATTATTTCTGCCTCCTTTATCACTGTA